AATTACCTTGGCTCTTGCTGTCATAGTTTTATGAGAATCATTTAAAATATGTAAACGAAAATGCCGCGGTCTCATTTCCATACCAATAGGCGAATCTACACTAAATGGAGTTTTAACTTTCTCAATTTCCTTTTTCTCTTCATTCGATATTTCTTCTTTTGTTGTACAAGTACTTTCCTCCTTTTTAACTATTTCTTCTGGCTCTTTCTTTACATTAACTTCTGCATTCATAGAAGATAAAGTATTTTTAAAACAATCTTTTCTTGATTCTTGATCTGATTCTTGAGTTGATCGGTTTGTATAATTAGAGAAAGTATTAGTAGAATTGTCAAAATTAGGATATATGGACCCAGAGTGATGACTATCTACACCATGATACAAAGTGCTAGGATTTCGAGTTTCAATACCTGGATATATAGGAGCTTGTGGCCGATTCTCTAAACCAGGATATATATTATTAGAATTCTGATTTTCCATACCAAATTTTGTATCTGACATGTTTGACCTTTGTTGCATGCCATGACAATTTACTTCTGATTTTATTGATTCAAAAGTAGACATTGGATTAGGATTTGTATTATACAATGCATTTTGTGAAATATCTCCGTGATAATTTTCATTTATGTGTACTTGCGAATTTGATATATTTTTATTCAACATATTATCTTGTACATAACCAGGCATCATATTGTGAGTTTCATATCCTGGATGAATATATGGATTTTCTGGCATAATATTCATAGGTTGGGACGCATTTTCTTGTCCAAAACGATGAGCTGATTCTGTGCTAATAGGCCTTGAAATATTTGACATACTTGACATATTTGACATGTCACTTTGATTCCCGCTTTCATCCTTAACTTCTTGTTTAAGCTCAATAACAGATTCTGATTTAATACCAGAACTTTTACCATACTTTTCCGGAGCATTAGGATCCTCATATGGTAACCACATATTAAATTCTGCTAACCAATTTTGCAGTGTATTAATGGGCATAATACAGAGGACTGTTTTAGAAGTAGTACAACGAAAAAAAATATCGCAAAAACTAGCAACTTGAAGTGTTTTTCCTAAACCCATACTGTGAGCAAGGATACAACCAAAACCAGAACTAGTTTTGAATCTTTCAATACTTTCAACAATATTATCATAAAGAAAACGAATACCACCAATCTGATGAGGTTTAATAATACGAGCTACTTGTGGAGCTAAAAATACATTAGGTTCTGTTTCAGGATGACCGACATTTATTAACACTCTACCATGTTCATCTGGAATGTTATATCTATCATTAGTATGCATGCCAGAATTGGATGGATCATCTTCGTTGTCTGTTTCTTCTTCACCACTTGGGTCACTTAAAACTATACAATCATCATCTGAACTTTCGCTAGAGCTAGATATTGTAACCACATCTTTGCCTTTAGCTGTTTTTTGAGACTTTGGCCCAGTTGATATCTTTTTAGCAGCATGTATTTGTTTCTCACGTAAAGTTTCTTCAGCTTCTATATCTGAGATTTCAGAATCTGAGTAATATTCAGATCTATCCATAGGTTCCTTTTTAGGAACTACAGGAGATATGCTAACAGAAGGAGTCATCATTCGAATTCTTTGTTGTAACATATTGGGACCACTAGGTCGATTTGCAATTCGTGAAATTGATGTTTGTGCTCCTTGGTAAATACCTCTACCTTTTTGCCATCGGGAGCCTTCTACCGATCTTCTTTGTATTTGATTTGTTTGTATACCAGAAGTAGTCTGAGATCCAGTGCCAGATCCAGAATTTACTTTAAGGAGCACCGTGTTTGGCAAACGAACTGGTCCAGACGGAGATGATTGTGAAATAGTAGTACCTGCTTGATTTTGTTTTCCTTGTAAAAGACTAATTACTCTTGTTTTTGCTTTCATATTTTGTCTAGTTATTGCCATATGTCGTTGAACTTCACGAATTAGTCTTTGTTGTTCTTGTACCCTTCGAAGACGTTCCATCTCTTGCCGCTGAGCTGACAAAGTAGCTTCATCAAGTTGAGTTTCATCCATAACTTCTCGAATATTTCTTCTCATGTTTGCTAATTTCTTTTCTGCTTTTGTTTCACATTCTGACGCAGATCCTTCAGTTCCATCATCTTTTTTCTGCTTCTTTTTAGCTGTATCAGAATGTTCTGAATCAGCATGCCTCTTATTACTCTCTGTTCCTTCCTCCTCCATGACATGACCTTCATGTTTGTCATTTTCATGTCCTATGCTTCCTTCATCATCTGTATCTTTTGAAATTGGTTTTCCAAGTAAGTCTGCTTCAGACACTTCCTGACCCTCTATTGGGGCTCCTTTTAAAGAATTTAAGGATTATTAATACTATAATATTAGAGTTCAAAAAAATTACAAATGTAAAATCCATAGTATTATACAAACCTTCTAATGGCAAAGTATCCAATATATTAACTGGTTCTTCATCATCCTCTTCAGCTTGAGAATGATGTTGCCTTTCTGATTCTGCTCGTACACCAATTTGTGAATCAATTGTCTCATCTAAATCCATGTCGTCCCCTGATCCTTCTGAACGTATTTCTTCTATTTCTTCTGACTGCAATGTATCATTTTTCTTGTCATGTTCTCCATCAGATGTTTCACCGCTAGATTCCTCTGAACTTTCATCATTTCCTGTTTGAGGCTCTACATTATTCATGTTTGTGTTTGTTACAGTTTCATTCGACATTATCGTTTCATTAGGCTTAGGGCCTGGGCGAGGAGTCACGCGTTCTATAGTGACATCCCCAATACGTGTTAAAAAACTGTCCAAACTATTTGACATGATGTGTAAAGTCCATTAAGTCACAATATATTTTACTAAAATTTTATGTGAAATCATGGAATGTCTTGTCACTTTCATTCCTGCATCACACTACCAAATAAGTTGTCATATCACTTACATTATTTATCCATAATTTTATTTTCTTTTATGCCTGCAATAAGAAATGTATTCCTTCATAAGTTCATTTTCATAAAACGATAATGATCTGTTACATCTATAAATCACTTATAAAAAAAACTATAACAATAAAAGCAGTTCTAACTAAATTTACACAAATTAACATGTAAGTAAGAAAAACTAAAGACTAACATTAGAAACACAAAGTACACGACACAAAACAAAAATATTGCACTTCATATGCGTTTAATATAAATTAGATTTGACAATTTATTAAATTCTCAATGTTAAAACACAGTATATAATAATTAAAAGTAAATAATAGTTCATTGCATATTTATGGAATACATTGCTATATCACATACAATTGTGTTTCAAATAATACAGCTATGCAGTAATACAGTTGTATTTCATATAAAAGTGAAATATATAAAACAATATTCACTTTCTTGTATACAAAGCGACACAAATAAACACATTCAATTAATATTAAGATTAAAATATCTAAACATTAGGACAGAAATTGATAATTATAATTTTACACTTAGAGAAATGTTTACATGGAAGATTGTATGTGTTACATATTATTGAAATTCCCTTATAAACTCTTAAAAACAAAATGTTTCAAAACGGTATATAAACCATACATTGTATTATAAACACTTAGAATTAAACACACTTGTTGAAAAAATCAGTTTAGTCACATTCTCGAGCTTACGTATAAACTCTAACAGCAACGATTTGGACGATACTCTTTAATGAGAAGATCATAGCGGAAGCACAATTTAGTCTGTGACAACGTAACTGAGGAAATCGAAGTAAGATATTCATAATGTTCCACGTAATTTGAATTAGGAGCTGTCAAACAGGGAAAATGAAAGCAGCCCAGAATGTTTGTTTTTGGTTGAACCGATTCGGTTCGGACGATTAATACTAGGAAGTCGCGTCGTTTAGCAACCGGCGTCAACACGAATCTCACACGCATCGAATTCTACTTGTGATCCGCAGTTACGACTGCTTAATTAGCTGTTAATTGCGGATTAAAAATAATGACACACACATACACACGTCCGATGGACGCCATAGCGTCGTTGTTCGCCGCTCGACGATTACGGTTCTCCGCAATGTCCGAAGATCAGCGAACAAGCCTTGTCACTTGGGTTAATGTACGCATCGTTTCAACCCCGTCATTTGAGTTATTTTCATCTAGAATGCATAGTGAAGCCACGAGAATTCACTCTGCGACCGAAACTTCACTTAAGCTCGCACGCGTCGCTCTCAAGCTTTCCGCGGCATTTTTTTTTCACACACTTTTTCTAACAAGTATATTCCACTCGGTGGAACGCCATCTTGACTGCGCTATGAGACACATCCGCTGCATATTTGCGAGGGAACGACATCGCAACTTTATTTCACGTTTAGTTTTTTCCTCATTCTCTTACATTTCACTAATCCTTTTAATAAACAATAATCTTTATACTTCGAATAATTGTCACCAAAAAAATATTCATCTAACTGCATAAAAACATTAATGTGATTAGCCTTGTATTTTTTTTATTATTCAGATTTTCATGCTTATAAGAAATACTATTCAGTAACTTTAATGACAGCATATTTAAATCAAATACATTTAAGTATATTTCAGTATATTCAAATTTAATGAATGATTTAGTTTAAACTCATTAATACTCATAAAAAGTTATAGCAAAGACTATTTTATTCATATTGTCATTACTTTACAACTTCTTAATTTTTATAATATAAACATACAGTAAAAACATTACGTGTCTTCTTTTCATATAAATATTCGTAGGTTATAGCAGTCATATAATATTTTTGTCATTTTTAATGTAAACATACATATCCTTAATTACTAAGTACAAGAAGCTCATATATATATAGATATGATTATACAAATATCATATATAATTAAAAATAATACGATATAATACTTAATATGCTATATATGGGATATATATATCGAGTTTTGTTACTTTAAACTAATGAAATATTAAATTTACGAAATTAAATGTCTTTTCATTGATTCGTAGAATATATGCATAGCATTAAATTGTTGCTTATGCATTGCACATGATGTGATATCCATTTAGTGATGACAATTTACATTTAAAAGAAATAAATAATACTATTGACCTGATACAAAGATAGTAAAATTTAGTTTGCACTTTCACACGCATCAATCCAATCATTATACACATCTAAAGGTTCTGAAAGTAAATTGATCGTGGTTTGAAAGTCTTCTAAGCAGACTCTGCAAGTAATTCTAGCTGTGTTCCTCGACTTATCCCTGCAAATAAAAAGAGAAAGCAGTAAAATTGAAAATTAAGTAGTATAAGAATTGTCGATAAATGAATTATGCGTACATCTTAACCTCACATGATTTTTCGTGATTGCAAAACGGACAATTAAATTGTGTATCTAGCGGTTGAATAGCTTTCTTTTTACTTGGTGGCTTCCTTTTACTTTTTCTTCGGCCCATTACGTTTGAAGTGTATCAAATTATACTGATTCACCAATTTGTATTAAGCTTTGCTACTATTTGTGTTGTAAACTGTTGCGTATAATGACCGAACACAGAGTATAACGCCATGTGATTCAAGAAAAATTACTATATATTACTAGGCTTGTATATACATACATATAAAATACGTTATATAACTTTGAATATGTATCGCATAACCAATTTGAGAATTATAATCTCATTTCGTGCAAAGTAATTAAATTATTAAATTATTATAGAACGAGTTATAAAATTAATGACTAAGTATCATATGTAAAAAATTAAATATAAAGGAATTTACACTATAGGAAACATACGTGAATTAAATAATAATTACCGCTATTGCTGTAATGAGTACTTTCAGTGTGTATCCTTTAAAATAAGTAATTTCACAACATCTTATGTAATTTGTAAAACATTGCACGTAATTACAAAAATAACCTTAATTTTGCACAGAAATTTATCAATACCTTTCCCATCAAAAAGGGAAGCAGAAATTGCTTATCAAGTACTAATAGTTGATAAAGAGCCCTCAAGAGGTAGTATTACAAAGAAATTGACGCTAGATAATAATTTATTACAAATGTAAGTTTTCCCATATGTATTATAATAGTATAAGCTTAAATATATGCATATTTCATTGTACTAATCTATAACACTTTTTATAGATTAATTTGTGGAACCGAAGCACGAAAAGTTAGAGTGGCATTAACATCATTTTTTGATAGTTTAATTTTAGTAACAGAAACTATGCAACTTCTTGGTCCACCTGTACCAACTTACAATTATTATTAAGTAAATATTCATTGTTAAAATTATTTCCATAGCATAAAATATATAAAATGGAACATACCCCAGCTCCATATGGACCAAGATCTGTTTATGGATATGCTTTATACATAGGTTCAAATATGCTATTCCTTTTATTCCTGGTATGGGCCTTAATACCAGATCAAATTTTACATAATTTAGGACTAACATATTGGCCTTCTAAATACTGGGCTGTAGCAATACCAATTTGGGCTTTAACTGCCCTTGCTACATTTGCATTTATTATTTACCCAGCTATAAACTTATCTATGACTCCAGATATTAATGATATCACCACTATTACAGATAAACATTCACGTCCTAAAAAAGAAATTGTTCCAGGTGGTATACCCTCTGTGTATGATATTCCAATAACAGAAGTTTGTAGGAAGTTGTATTTAGCAAAAAGAAGTAACAATAAGTGACATTAAAAATTTATATATTTTGTTAAAGGTGTTAAATAAGATGTAATAATCTATGAAATAAATTTGAAATAATATAATGTAAAAAATTTTAATATTTTACAATATATTCTGGGAGTTAATATTTTGTGAAATTTAGTTTAATAATTTTGCAACTATAATGTTAAATTTTTATTTAGTATTACTTTAGTATTACTTTAGTATTACTTACAGGAAATTGGTCCATTACATTAAACTGATTATGTATTTCATACATTGCGCAATGTGATATCAGTAATCTTATATGGACTGAGTGAGGCAAAAAGTTATATAGTTGTAAACTGTACTTTCTGCATGTACATACCGAAAAAATGAAAAAATTTGTGTCGAAAGATAAAGTGCACGATCCATGTATTGATGACGAATGTGATAATAATGCAGATCATTTTCGGTCTGTAGATACTAAACGCGAAATGATTGATTTAAGAAAAAAGCTACAAGATATAATCAAGACAGATGCTATATTTTGTAGTTTCGAGATGATGCCTGTAATAAGTAAGGATCTTTTGCAAAGGTTTGTATGTTATGTATTTAATAATGCTTAATGTATCTATGTTTCTATAAATAAAAATTTTTGTTACTAGCTTTTTTACAGAAATGAATAAGTACCATCCACTTTTTTATGCATTAACATGGCATAAAAATGATATGAAAGATTATTTGTCTTTAGATATATTTAATATACTCCCAAATAACACGCTCCTTCATCTTATAGCTAAAGATTTAACTTCCACTGACGTAAAAATTATATTAAAGGAAGCATTAGAACATGGCATACGTAATATTTTTGTGTTAAGGGGTGGTAATTGAGAATTGTTATAAAATGTTTCATGTTTAAAAGACTCTATTTATGAGATGAAAGTTTTCATATTAATTGGATTTTGTAAAACAAAATTTTAGATTCTACAAAGTCAAATAGTGAATTTTCACATGCAATTGACTTAGTACGTTTTATAAGGAATCAATTTGGTAATATATTTTGTATATGCATTGCTGGTTATCCAGAAATGCATCCAGAATCATCGTCTAAAGAAATGGATTTGATTTATTTGAAAGAAAAAGTAATTAATTTCTTTCACTTTATTATTTATTTATATATATAAAACGAATATGTTAACATTAATTTTATTTAAAGGTTGATGCTGGTGCAAATTTTATTATCACACAAATTGTCTTTGAAGCAAGTGTTTTTATTAAATTTGTGAGTGATTGTAAAAACATTGGAATTAATATTCCAATTATCCCAGGTATTTTTCCAATTTTGAATTATACATGTCTCCAAAAAATGGCCAGAATTTGTAATATCAAAATACCTAAAATTATTTTAAATACTTTGGAATGTATAAAAGATAATGACGAAGAAGTACACAATTATGCAGTAGAAATAGCTACAAATATTATAAAAAAAATTATTGCAAGTAAAACTGCTTGTGGATTCCATTTCTTCACATTAAATAAGTAATTGTTCACTCTAATAGAAAACATATAACGTAAGATGTGCTTATTTATATTTATTTATATATTCATGAATTGTAGACCATCATTATCATTGGAGATATGTGATAAACTTAATATCTTTCACTAATTTTGCTTGAAAATGGAAGAAGTTTAAATAACTAAATAATTCTATTACTAAGATAAATAATAGTAAATATGGGAGTCTGCATATGATCTTAACAAATATATCGGTTTAAATGTATTCATATTACGCGCCAAATTTCTCATTAATTACCAATTCTCGAAACTCTCTATACTGGAACAACAGTGAAATATTATATTAAATTTATTACACGAATGACATAGGATCTCTATTAAAATTTATTGTACATTTTAATCTCTATGAATGTACTCTTCTACATTTCGCTTTTCAATTTTTTTAAAGTACTTATCAAGAATAGTTATAAAGTTAATTTTGATATTTTCCATGAACATAACATGGCAGATTTATATGTAGACATTAAATGATCCTTTGGGAACACTAACTGTTTTGCGCATGCGCGATAGAAATATTTGTGACGAACGAAGAGAGCAGTTAGTTGAGTTGGGCGCCAGAGCTCCGCGTGGTCAGTTGGATAGTTGGTGTGACAGTAACAAGAAAGAGGAAGGATCCATAAGCCAGGATATAAAGAACAATGGCACTCTTCCATTTCAGTCCAAAACGTTGCTTGGAAGTTCAGGTGCGTGGTAAATGAATTTACCAAAAATTGATTGGTCTTAGTACACAATATGATATTTGAATGATTCCTAAACCACTTCACGTTGTTCCGGTGCGAAATTCGAAAGACAAGCAGGTGTTTAACGTGCATCATTATTTTTTGTAATAATAGTTGATAATTTTTAATAGATAGTCATATAAAAATAAATGATTTTTTTATTATTTATCTCTTTCGAAATGCTAGAACCTTGCACCGTTTAGAGCTAAGACGCTATTCGGTTTGGCTATGTGGTTCTGGGTACCAAGTATGTAGTAGGCGTTCTATCGACCAATAGTCTAGTAACTAAACACGATCAAAACTGTCGGTATACAAATTTACAAATTTATAGCAAATCATCTATGTTAATGATATCTAGACAAAATATTGGGTCATGTTTGTTGATTCGATAGATAAAATGTGCTATAAAATAAACTGTGAAAGGTTTGTCTCGAAGCTGTTCGACGTATTGAGCGTGTGCTCAGAACACCTTTACAAAACTCCAACAATGCACATTATTTTGGGGCAATATCTCTAACATGGATGCAGCTTATTATTAATCGAATCGTTGCATTTAGTGTCGATATGAAATATTATGGAAACCATAAAATGAATATATATTGATCAATTGTTTAAAACTGTACATTGAATTACATATCGAGTGATACAAGGTTTACCTGACCGACAGAACTTGGCATTAATTTAGACAAGCTTGATAGCCTGATATGTTACGTAATAAATTTTTAAACGATGCATAATTATTGATTACTATTTATCGTAAGTTAGAGACCGGACATATTAATTGAGCCGTAATTATGATGATTTTTAATTAATACTCATAAAGGTAGAATTAACTAAATATTTTAACTATTGTTTTACATTTCGAACATTTATAAATGAAATTGTCGAATTGAAATGTAAATGTGTATAGCAGCAGTGGACACTCACAATTCGCATGAATGAAGTTTTGATACAAGTTGACATATCCTTTTTGTCCTAATCGATGAAAACACGGAATTCCCCGTGATCGCGTATATGATAGGGAAAAACAATGCAAGATACATAATATATTTGCTTTGTTCGTTGATGTGAAAATTAGAAGGTTAATCTAGTGAAAATTTGAAAGCTGTCAGTCTATTTTTGCTGTAGCGACTTATCGCGATAATACTTGATATATAATACAAAATATGTGAGAATCCCTTACATCGATACACATGTCCATTGAGAAGTGCACGACATTATAATTTCGTAAGGTATCACAATTTTAGAACGAATTCGAGGTCAAAATCTGTGTTGTCCTTGTAATCTGCATTGGCCGTTCCTTCATGATGTCCCTGACAAATATTTGCTTACCGATGAAACTTCGAATTGATCATGTAACTTTTTCGATATTACTATCCAAAATTGTACACACATCCGGTTTTAATTTCTATTAATTCTTCTTCCTCAGTTTTATGAAGGGAATTAGATACATTGAAACTGATTTTTAGGAAAATATATTAATATTTGATTAAATTATAACTTTGATTATTGGAGTCATAGAAAGACTGAATGAATAGTAAAGTGTATGTATATCTACTGTAACTTTTGGCACATTTAGAAACTCTTCGCTCAACTTGTAGATGGCTCGCCGATTACCTAATG